TATCTCATGTCATGTTGTTGCTTGTTTGGTTTTTAGCTCGAGACTGCACCAGCAGATTTTCGATTCCCAACTACAAATCAAACAAGGCATTGCTTCACTCGATACATTGAATATCACCGGTGAGTTGAGCTTGGTTTTTGAATATGCACAACCTATGAAGGTCAGTCATTGCATTTTAACATGCTTTTTGTTATTTTTGTCTAGTTGTGTAGCTGCAAAGGGAGAAGGTGCCCCAGAGTGTGACAAGTTTGCAAAATATTATCGCTCGTTATGCCCTGGTGAATGGGTATGTATCTTTGAGGCCATTTCTCCCATATGAATTGTAGTCCTTGTATTGGCAGCTTTAGGATTTACTTATGAATTTTCAGGTGTTTTAGTTTTTTTTTTCTCCTTCCCTATTCCCTCTTATGATGATGAAAATATTATGCTGGACTTTTGCTATTCCTCGCTAACTCCTGTGCTGAGGCCTTGTGGCCTCCTATGATATTGAGGGAGGTATTATTTACAGTAATACTGCCCTTCTTGGTTTAGGATATGCTTATGGTGATAACCTGTCAATTGAGAGCATGAAATATGACTTTAGTGAACTATTTTTCTTTATGGAAAGGTTTTTGTTTTTATTTTTATTTTTAGTACATGCCTTTTAACTTGTACTTCTTCTTGTTGCTGCAACAAAGAAGAATAATAAAAAGGAGTTATAGGCAAAAGAATAGGTAGAGAAAAATGTTCAGCTTTTGTTAACCAGCTTGGTACACGGTCATCCATGCTTTGGTTCCCTTATCTTAAGATTTTACCAGAAGATTACCTTTGTTCAATCCATAACTTGATACAAAGAGCCAGCTTCTTCTATGTTAAGTGTGTCTCAGAGGTCAAAGGAAACCATGTGTGTTAGCACTACAATAATTTTCTAAAATTAGCAAATAATGTTAGTAATTAGCTCTTGGAGAGGTTTGACCCTTGAACTTGATCCCAAAATCAAGGTTTTGAAGTTAGTGGGTATCAATTCGGCTATGTTTGCGATATTGTAATATGCGTAGGTTAAGGGTGAAGTAGGGGAAGGCACAATGGGTGCATTGAAAACAGTAATGCATTAAAATCTGGATGGCAGTGTAAGATAACTCTGTTTTTGATGGCTTTATACCATCAGTTCCTTGTTTCTTTGCTTCTGAAACAACAGATAATCTTACTTTGCTGTTGATACTTTTATTATGACTTCCTTCTTTTACCTCATGAGTCATGTCCGCCTTGCTTTGTTGTGTTTGATGTTACTCTTTAATCTAATTGTTGTTACTGTTTTGGGGTGGCAGATTGACAGATGGAATGAGCAAAGGGAGAACGGAACTTTTCCAGGTCCTCTGTAGATGGACCGCCGTACTTCAAAATTGCCAGAGATGATTGTCTTGAATGAGAAGTGAATTCTCAGGAAACGTTCTATTCAATAGTCACAACTCATGAGTTAATAAGAAATTTTGGATTGTATGTTAGCACTAGTTTCTAAACTCCCACAACCAAGAAGAAACTATTTTCTTTCCAATTTTCCAATCATAATTCGTCATGCATGAGGATCATGTAACAGATAAAGGTTACATATGGAACCCAAGGAATAAAAGTATGTTCCTCATTGATAGAATTCCTCGATGAAGTTGAGAATTTCCAAATATTTTTGTTAGTCGTCAATGTTGTATGGTGGAGAATTGGAGATCACTATATTTCAAATTCAGATATGGAAACATTGGAGCTTTAATGCTAACAATCACCATGAATCCTACGAGCAAGTTGAATGTCCTTGGGCATGATGGTAATGCGCTTGGCATGGATAATGGCATAGAAGTTGTTGTCCACAAACAACCCCGCAAGATATGCATCTGCTTCCTCTTGCGAAGCCAAGACCACATGCCTCTGGAAAATGGATCAGATCAGTAAAAATTGACGAACAATTCTAATCATAACGTGAATTAAATTGTAGACACTACACGGTACCTTGAAGTCTTGAGCAATTTGACGAACAAGATTCTTAAATGGTACTTCCAGGATTAGATCTTCATTGCTCCTCCGATTGTTGCGAAGTTCACTGCATCAACTTCACGTTTCAGTTAAATTATGGAAAACATGACAAATTAGAAAGAAAACGGACTCAACTAATTGCGGTTGAGAAAAAGGACCGACTGACCGTAGAGCTTCAGATCCAGGACGGAATCTGTGAGGTTTCTTCACGCCTCCGGTTGCTGAAGCCTTCTGAGAACGAGAAAACTGAGGTTGCCCGACTTTTTCTGAGGTTAGAGGCGATTCGCGTACACACTCAGCACAAGAAAACAGAGTTTCCTCGTCGGCTTCTATTGTTGGAGGCAATTGACATCTCTAAGAACAAGAAAACGAAATAATTTCGTAATCGCAAGCCAGAGAAAAAGAAAACCAATGCTAACTAACACGAAGGGAGTAAGAGAGAAGTAGAGAGAAAACAAACCTTATAGGCGAGTTGACGCCTCGGGCAGAAGCCGCCGGTCGTCATACGGGCTGTCATCTTCGTACGAGCCATCTCGTAAGCCTAGAATGCAAAAGAAAACGCCGGCGATAACTGACGAATTTGCTCTCTGAAAATCAAAACGGGATGACGTCTAACGATGAAGGACGCTATATATAGGACTAATAAAAACGACGTCGTTCCATCCTTTTATTTTTATTTTTATTTTTATTTTGGGGGAAAAGATAAGTCGCAGAAAAAATGGCGAGGAAGACGGCACTGGAGAATCCGGAAGCATGAGGTTGCAGTGCACAATGAGCGGAACGGCCATTCAAACCCTAAAATTGGCGGCAATTCCAGTATCGACTTCTCCTTCACGACTCATTTTCTGGCCAGTAACCAAAACCCTAACGGCAACTCTGGTTTCCCGCCATAATCACACGCAGAGACCTCCCTTTACTCTGCTCGTCAGAGCTCTTTCTGTTCAAGCTGTTCAAGCCACAGAAATCACAGATAGTAGGAAAGGTCATTATCGTTTCGTTTCATATCGTGTTGCTTCGGGATATTCGATTTTGTTGTTGCTTACATTCTATATTTTTGTTTTGATTTAGTTGTGAAGCCGCAATGGAAAGCGGCAATTGATTTCAAGTGGATAAGGGACAATAAAGAAGAGGTTGCTGCTAATATTAGGAATAGGAATTCAAATGCCAATTTGGAGCTCGTGCTCAAGCTTTATGATAAAATGTTGAATCTTCAAAAGGTCAATATTTTCTTCTCTGCTTTATGATTGTTCTTTTTGATAATTCGTTCATTATGATAGGTTAGCTACTGGATTAGTCAATTTCTATGTGGTTCACATAATCATATTCATTACGTAATTTGAATGTGTTTGCATTTCAATGTTTTGTGCAAGAACGTGAAGCAAACTGGTTTTCTTCTCAATTTACTAGCTAATTGTTGCTCCAGATAGCAGGAAGTTGAGCGGCTTCGAGGGGAGAGGAATGCAATTGCGAACAAGATGAAAGGAAAGTTGGAACCTTCTGAGCGTCAAAAGCTTATAGAAGAAGGTAGAGTGGAATGTCGAGGCTTTCCTTGATTGTTTGATGGATTTTTCTTTTTTCTTTGGGAGGGTTCTTATTTTGAGGCTTTGTGTCTTGCAATTAGGAAAGAATCTGAAGGAAGCATTGATGACCTTGGAAGAAGAACTCATCAAACTAAGAGACAAGCTGCAGGGAGAGGCACAGTGTCTACCAAACATGACTCACCCAGATGTTCCAATAGGTGGAGAGGATAGTTCAAGAATTAGGAATTTGGTATTGCTATTTGCTATTGCTTGATTTCATTACTAGTGTTTCAAATAGCAAGATTGTGTTGCAGACTCGAATGTTTTGCTTACTAATTAGTGTCCTGGTTCAGGTTGGCCGTCAACGTGAGTTTAGCTTCCCTGTCAAGGATCACCTTCAACTTGGGAAAGAACTAGATCTCTTTGATTTTGATGCTGCTGCTGAGGTACTTTTTCAATTTAGGCTTAGGTATTGAAAGAAGCATCTAATTTGTTGCGTTAAAATTATCAAAAAATTCTATTGTAAATCATGATACATAGCTAACTATATTTTGTCTGGTAAATCAAGATTTAGATTAAGTGGGCTCTTGAAAATTGTGTTTATGATATGAGTGTAGTTGTAAGACTTTATCATTTTAGCAACTTGGCTCAGAGCCTCAAAAGGGGGCTAAGTTCTCTGTGTACTGATTTTTGTTTAGGTAAGTGGTTCAAAGTTTTACTACCTGAAGAATGAAGCAGTGATGCTGGAGATGGCCCTTATTAACTGGACACTCTCAGAAGTCGTTAAAAGGGGCTTTACACCACTAACAACCCCAGAAATTGTTAGATCCTCTGTCGTTGAAAAATGTGGTTTCCAACCTCGTGG